GGGGTGGGGGGGGGGGGGTGGGGGGGGGGGGGGGAGGGCCTGTTTTCTAATTTTTTTTGTACATTTGGAGGAATGAATGAATAAATGACCCTTCTACCCCCCCAGTTGCCTTGTGTGATGGTGGTACCAGAGAGCCTCATGCTGGAGAGCCAGTGTTGCTGGTTTGCTCTTTAAGAAAAGGCTGCAGAGAGCTGCCTCTGTCAAAAAGGCCTTTTTCGGAAATTGATGCCTGGCTGACTGAACTAAACCAGCAGGGCAGTGGTGGTTGCTTCTGCTTCCTCCTTTTGCCGAGGAATGGGCAGGTGGCCTATAACTACTTGAAGTTAAACAGTTAATGGATACTGAAAATAGCTATAGAATAGAATCTTTCTAAAAGAAAAGCTGAGTGCCATGACTGAATAAACGCCATGCTTTATATGATTTGTTTTGCTCATTAGTGGCAGGGAAAGGAAGAGAATTGAAACCGGTGATTGGGGCAGCCTCCTTGGCCGTGCTTTTACCTTCTGGAATTGTTAGATGCTTTATTGTGGGGGAGTAGGCTGTTTGAGAGCTGCTCCCTCACAATAAATTTGAGAGTGTGGACTAGCTATTTTGCACTCAAAACAGGACTATTTGAATCCAAAATAGGTTGAGTGCAAAACAGCACTCAAATGCAGAACAGTCAGTCTTTATTAGTGATGTATTAAATGTATATATTGCCATGCCTTCAGGAGCTTAATGCAGTAGACAGTTAAGCTCTGAAACAGTATTCTCGTAATGCAGATTGGGCTGAGAGAGCATAATTGGCCCAGAGACACCTTGTCAGCTTCTCTGACTGAGGCTGGGCTGGAACCTGGCTTTCCCCAGTTCTAATGCAATGTTGTAACTGCCGAGGAGCCTGAATGCAGAATTTAAAACAGCTATGGATTCCCTGTTGCCAGCACTGCTTGGAGGCAAGAAGCCCACTGAGAGACACCCCATCCCCCAGACGTGGGGAAGCTGCAAGGTAACTGCATTGTGCAGATCAAGTCGCAAGCAAGATTGACCTTTTCAGCTAGACACGACAGTATTGATTTCTGGGCTAATGAATTAACGAGGAAGTTAAGGAAAGGCCTCTGTGCTTGGCTAGCTGCTAAAATTACCTAGGGAGAATTCCAGGGAAGGGAATTAAGGCTGCTTTATGGAGCAGATTCCTTCAGGCTAATGTGACTTAAGGCAAGGACCTTTGTTTCAAGCTGGAGTTGAAGCCTGGGTAAAAGGCTGTGCTTGCACGAGGTTCGCAATGCTTCTGAATCACACACTGCCATCTTAAACATACCCATTCTTGACGCCTCAGAATTGTTTGTGTTTTGTGAGCCTGTTACAGTTAGTCTGAATCCTTAAAGGCATGGTGCTACGTTCTCAAAGCGGGATCTGAGCCTGACTAATACAGAATGAAGAGCAATTATAAATTCTTTAATGTGGAAACAGCATAAATTGATAAAGGCTAAATTTGCATTTGCTGGCGGCAAAACACTTTCGATCCATAGCCAGACTCTGGCAGTTCAAGTGCCCAATCAGATCCTTTATAGTGTGCGTTTGATTTCTCCTTTGGAGAATGGCCATCTAGTTTTTCATGCTTCATTCTGTTATTTTCAGCCATTTTCTCTTAATTCAGCGAGATTTGTGTGGGTGCCTCCTATAGTATTAGCCATTGTTCTGTCTTGTGTCTAGTGACTTCGTGTTCTCACGTCACCCATGTAGGCGCACAGAAGCAGCTCTTTCCACTGGCTTTGCTTTGCAGCTGGTGAATGGCTGGGAACAAGCTGCTGGAGGCAGCCCTGGTCAAAGATGGGAGTTTATAGGGGGAACCAGCACACCTTTCAGCGAGATACCAGCCCCAGGTGATTGAGGATGAACAAGCAAAGGTACACAGCCCTTTAGCTAAGTTTTGCTCCAGTACTCATCTGCGCACCTTTCCCTGAGCCCGAGGGGCCTGAGGAGAAGCAAGCTGCAGCTTCTGATGTCTACCCAGGGTGCTCCTGGCCAGCCTCCTCACTGTCCTTCTGCCTTGGCTGGCTGCCCGTGGCCTCCACCTGAGGTCACCAACTGAGGTCTGCTCTGGTTTGTTCCTTTGATGAGCAATTTCTTGCCACATCACATCAGCATGGCCTTGCACCTCCCTGTTCTTCGTTGGCTTTGTTTGCTGCTACCTCCCCCCTTCAGGCCCTGGTTGAGTGACAGATTAGATGCTCTAGCACCCTGCTCCTCTGCCTCCTCCCAAATTGGTGAGAAGCCATAATGAGCATTCCTCAGCTGGGTTCACACAATATCCTTAATAAACTTACATTATGTTAACTTTTCCAGTTGGGCCTCTCTGATTAAGGTTTGATGTATTCTGTAAACCCAGAAATGGGTTCATTGAAAAATGGAGCAAAGCGTGATGCACCAACTTGGTTTCTGAGTATGGCTTTTGAAGCCAACCACGGAGCTGCCTGATAGTAAACCATCCAGGCCATCCTAAACTAGATTGTTAATGAGAATGTGATGATTACATGCTATCAAGTTGTCAACTCTTAGCAAATGAGAATGTAGTGGGATGTTTTGTTAAATGTTTTGCTGTAATTAAGGTACAATACAGAACTCCCAAAATTTAAGGAAGTCGCCTTACTAAAAGTGGGATAAGGTTAGTTTGACAACTTGCTGTTCACAAATTCACTCCCAGCTAGTACATATGGCATTGTGTTCCAGGCGGTGATAGTTTTAAGATTGCTCTGATATTATCTTGGGAATTGACATCTAGATTTTCCTGATCCCCTTTTCCCCCTTTCTGAAGATAGGAACAGCATTTATCCTCCATTTTGGCTTCAGTACCCTAGGATGCAATTCATCCTACTCATTTAAAGAAGGCATTCTCCAATCCTACCTTTTCAAGCGGTTCCTCACCATCCTGCAATTGGTGGAAGATTATTTTCTTTTACTAAGGAAAAGAAAAAGACCTGGTACCAGTCTTAGCTGCACCATTGTCACATTCAGCATGTCAATGCACATGCACATTGCTGACAGGAAGACATGGTGCTGGGCAGTTTGGTGAAAGAATTGAACTGAATGCAAAGAAATGCTACCGTCCAAGAAAAAGTGATGTAATTAGCCTCAGATCCCTCCTGTATAGTTAAGGCAGCCAGGAAGGTGACTTGTAGTTGGGTCCATGCTGTGGTGGCCTCTTTGAGAGTGGGGGTGGTGCACCCCTTCTTTAGAAGTCATCTCTGGACCCAATATCTTAAATACAGTTGTGTGACAAAGTACACCCTCTTTGAGTTCTATGGTTTCATTATCAGGACATAATAAACATCTGGTCCTTAGCTCTCAAAAGTAGGTAAATAAAACCTCAGATGAACAACAACACATGACATTATACCATGTCATCATTTATTTTACAAACAGAAAGCCATGTGTGAAAAACTAAGTATACCCTTACTGCTTCCATAGGTATGAAGAGGCTAAGT